TGTACCTTTTTGCTAACAGCTGTGTTAAAAATCCTTTCAGCAGTGGACTGGTGGAAGGCCTTTTCCACCTGCGGATCACACCTGACGGTGGTGTGCTTATTCTTTGGGGCCCTGTTGGCTGATAATACAGGTGCAATTCAGAATATTATTACATTGTTCTATTCTGTGGTCACTCCCTTCTTAAACCCCTTGATTTACAGCTTTTGAAACAAGCAGATGAAGGCTACATTGATGAAAGTCCTGAGGATAGAGTGAGCTTAAAGTAATCTATGTGAAACCAAGCAAACCATTGTCCAGACATAAAAGATCAATTAAGAAAGACTTGATTTTCTGCTCCTACTTCTCCAACACACACTTTAAAGAAGATACTTTCTTATTGAGGTCCTTCATTGTTTTGTTCCTCAAGTAACCTGACAGAGCTAAACCCACTGTTGATTCATACTGCACTCCAAATGTAACAACCGTTATTTTCAACATGGGTGAGCCCAGTAGATGATACATGAGCGCATTTTAGCTTGCTATTTCATACTGTTTTAGTTTTGATTATGGGGGTATAGGGTGGAAGGTAGAAAAATAATAGTTATCTTAGGTGAAATAAATTATTTTTAGGTATTTACCATAGCTTAATTGTGAACACTAAACTGAGTGACTATGCTCGTTTAGATTCATAAGTAGCATAAAAAAATATAGAGGAGAGGTAGGGCGAGATAAGGGACTAGAGGTGCCAGGGACATGTTCCTCCCACAAACAGAACCAGAACAACTAACAGGCAGCTCAATATTAATAAGAACATCTGTGGGAGAGCATAGGAGTGCAGTAGGAGACCAGCCAGACCCCTGTGGAACATGAAAGCCCAAAATGACAGCATAGAGAGGAGAGAGAGGCACACAGCCTCAGCCACCACGTCTCCACCACAGGGACAGGCGCAGGACAAATTTCTCCTGTGGCAATAAGACCTACACCAACCCCCATCATCACCACAGAGAATTGCAGTTTCTTTTGTGGGACAAGCTCAGAGCCACATGTGGTGAGCTGCCTAGAATACACACACTGATCCCTCCAGAACAGGAGCACTTATTGTGCACTCCCCATCCCCACCTTTGTGACACAAACTGATGCAGGATAGCACCATCTTCTAACCAGAGTCGCTTGCCTTGCCCTGGGGCCAGTAGCCATTGTGCTTTCCCTCTCTTAAAAGGCCCCACAGTCATTACAGTACACTCACATGAGAGGCTACAATGCCCTGATCTTGGCAACGTGAAGCCTGGGCCCACATAGGCTGTGACTCTAGTGCTGCAACCTGGGAAACCAGCCCCAGGCCTGCTGAACTGACATACTCCCATGTCCCAGGCCAGAGATTAGAGAGGCAGATGTGCCTTTGGTGGACCACCCCCTTCAAGCCCCTACTACCCCACCCACCAGCTGGCTGAGTTTTGAGTGTCTGAGCTGCTAACTTGGAAAAACAGCTTACAGGTCTCTGCACTAATGAATATGCCCTCAGGCTGGTGGAAATAAAGCATATCCATGCCCTCCAGGAGATGCAACCAGGTGGTTTCCTCCTCAATATTCCTGCCTAGCAGTCTCACCCACTACCCAAGAATCAGCTAGCCAGGCCCCTTCACTGCAGGCCTGCCTAGCAACCTTACTTACTGCTCAAGAAGGGGATGACCTAGTCTCCTTTCATCAGGCCTGCTTCTTGACCTGGTCCAACACCTGAAAAGCTGCTGGCAGGGTCCTGGCTGCAGCTTTACCCTGAGGTCTTACCAACCACCCAAGAAGCAGCTGAGCAGACACACTATTGGCAGGCCCACTTCCTGGTTTTCTCTGCTGCCTTAGAACCAGCCGGCCAGGTCCCCTCATTTCTTCACCACCTTGAGGCTCACTGACAGACTGAGAAACAGCTGGCCAGGCCCCCTATCTGCAGGCTTGCATAGCAGCCTCGCCCACCAACTAAGAGCCTCTGCAGCCCTTCCTTTCACAGGCCAGCTCTCAGTTATCACTGTAGCATGCACCAATAGATGAAAGTCATTCCCTAAGCAAGCCACTCAACAAAACTCAATGAGGTGGCTTACAAGAAATGCTTAGGGGAATCCTACACATAGAAAAAAAGCAAAGATAGCAACCACCATGAAAACATCTGAAAATATAAAACTTACTGGTAGACTAGATACACAAATGAAAAAGAAAAATGAATCAAATCTTAACTATACAGAAAACCACCAAACCACAAGGATAAACAAAAAGAGAGGAAGAAAAAATAAAGGATACACAAAACGATCCAAAAAACCAACAAAATGACAGGAGTAAGATCTCACATATCATGAATGTAAACAGATTAAACACCCCAATTAAAATATATAGACTAGCTGAATAGATTAGAAAACATGACCCACCCGTATACTACTTACAAGAAACACACCTTAACAAAGACACAAATAGACTGAAAGAGAAGGAATGAAGAATGTGATGTAAATGGGGGGAAAAAAGCAAGCATGACTACCTATACTTAGATAAAACAGATTTTACATCAAAATGTGTACAAAGAGATGAGGAAAGTCTTCCTATAATAAAAAAGAGATCAATACAGCAAGAGGATTTAACAATTATAAATATATATGCACCCAACACCACAGTATACAGACATATAAAGCAAATATTATCAAATCTAAAAGGAGAGATGAACACCAACACAGTAATATTTGAGGACTTTAGCACCCCACTCTCCGTGTTGGACAGATCATTGAGACAGAAAATAACAATGAAACATCAGACTTAGGTGGCACTATAGACCAGATGAACCCAGCAAATATTTAAAGAGCATTTCACCCAACAGTTGCAGAATACACACAACCATTTCATCAGTGCACGGAACATTCTCCAGGTCTTGGCCACAAAACAAGTCCAAAAACACTGAAATCATACCAAGTATTTTTTCTGACCATAATGGTATAAAGCCATGAATCAATAACAAGACGTACTTTCAAAAATACACAAATACATAGAAGTTAAACAACATGCTCTTGAACAAACAGTGAGTCAAAGAAGAGATTAAGAAGGAAATTTCTGGCAGGCCCGGTGGCGCACTGGATAGTGCACCGCTTGGGAAGCGCGGCGGCGCTCCCGTCCGCGGGTTCGGATCCCACGTACAGACCAGTTCCCGCTCACTGGCTGAGCGAGGCGCGGGAGCAACACCGAGGCTTGCGATCCCGTTGCCGGTCCCCGGTCCGGTACGGGGGCGACACTGAGGGTTGCGATCCGTTGCCGGACACGGAAAAAGGACAAAAGGCAAAAAAAAAAAGAAGGAAATTTCTGTGGATTGATTGAATTGTGTTCCCCTAAAGTTCATATATTAGAAGCTTAATTCCCACTCTAACTGTTGAGGGTGGGAAATCCTATTATGTTAACTGAAAGGTGGAGCCTTGAGAGGTGATTAGATTGTAGGACCATGCCATAATGAACAGATTAATAATTATGGTCAGGGGTGTGGTTCAGAGGGTTCTGGTCATGTGAGAGTTTCTCTCTCGCTCTCTCTCTCTGCTCCACCATTTTCTACTATGTGAGATGACTGCATTGCTGTAAAGCCTTCACCAAAGAAGACCCTCACCAGATGTGTTCGCTGGACTTTGGACTTCCCAGCCTCCAAGATTATAACCAATAAATGTTGTTGTCTTACAAATCACCCAGTTCCAGGTATTTCATTATAAGCAACAGAAAAGGACTAATACAGAAAATTGGTACCAGAGAAGTGGGCTGCTGCATATGTCAAATACATGAAAATGTGGAAGCAGTTTTGGAACTGGGTGTTGAGGAGAGGCTGGAAGAATTTGGATGAACAGGCTAGAAAAAGCCTAGATGCTGGTGAAAGTTTAGAAGACAAGAAAATCAGGAAAAGTTTGGAATGTTTTAGAGACATGTTAAGTGGTGGCAACCAAAATGATAAAGAAATATGGACACTAAAGACCATTTTAAGTAGGTCTCAGATGCTAATGAGAAGGAATTTATCGGAATCTGGAGCAAAGATCAGCCTTGCTATGAACTGGAAAGGAACTTGGCTGCCTTCTGTTCTTGCACAAAAGTTTTACAGAATGTGGAACTTCAAGGTGCTGAATGAAGGTATTTGGCAGAAGAAATTTTAAGCAGCAAAACATTCAGGAAGCTGCACAGCTAATTGTAACAGCCTAGAATGACTTATAGTGGCAAAAGCATGACATAAAGCCAGAATGTATAATTAAAGGGGAAGCAGAGCATAAAGATTTGGAAAATTTTCAGCCTGGCCATGTGGTAGAAAAGCAGAGGGCATTTTCAGAAGAAAAACTCAATGGTGCTAAGATTAGTATGAAAGAAGGGTTAAAAGGCCTGGAAGGCATTTAGGAAGTCCCTGAGGCCAACCCTTTCATTACAGGCCCAGAGGCCTAGGGAGACAGAATGGTTTTGTGGAAGAGACCTGAGGCACTGTCCATGGCTCACTGCCCAGAGCCAGCTCAGGATGCTGCACCCCACACCAGCATCCCAGCTGCTTTGGCTGCTCCAGACAAGGCTAAGTTGGTCCCAAGTGTGGCTAAACCTGCAGCTTTGGAAAATACAAGCCAGAAACCTTGGCAGCATCTGCGTGGTGTTAAGTTTGCAGGCTCAAACTAAACCTGCAACTTTGGAAAATACAAGCCAGAAACCTTGGCAGCATCTGCGTGGTGTTAAGTTTGCAGGCTCTCAAAATGAAAGAGCTGTGGAAGCATGGCAGTCTTCACTCTGATTTCAGCAGGTATATGTTAAATCCTTAGGGACCAGGAAAGGATATGTCCTGGGTCAGAGTCACCACAGAAAGCCTCCACTAGAGCAATGCCTTGCAGAAATGTGGGATCAAAGATACAGAAGAGAAACCTGACCAGGGCCACGCCTGGTAGAGCCTTGGGAGTATGACCACCACCATAGAGACCCCAGAACTGTAGAGACAGAATGCCAGAGTTTTGGAGGCTTGGGAGCCTACTCCTTGGTTTCGAAGGATGTATGCAAAAGCCTGGGGAACCAGGAAGAGATCTGTTACAGGGGCGGAGTCACCACAGAGAGCCTTCTCTGGAGCAATGCTGAGCATAAACGTTGGAGCTGCAGCAGAAAAGCCCCAACACAGTGGAGCACTGCCTAGTGGAGCAGTGGGAGTGGGACCTCCATGGAGACCCCAGATTTGTGGATCTACCAGAGTGGAACACCAGCTTAGGAGAGCTGAAGTGTCACCTGAGACCAGGAAAACCATAGGAGTGGAGCTGCCCAAGGACTTGGGAGCCCAACTCTCACACCAGTGCACAGAGGAAGTTGAACATGGGCATGTGAGTTAAATCAAGTTCAGACTTGGGGGATGGAATGAATGTGTTTGAGAAGGACATGATCTTCAGATACCAAGGGAAGAATACTGTGGATTGACTGAATTATGTTTTCCAAAGTTCATATATTATAAGCTTAATTCATGCAATGAAAACAAAATGTGCCCCACGGAAAAAAAAAATTCTACCCTTAAAAAAACAAAAAAAGGAAGGAAAAAGAACATAGAAAGTTTCCAACAATCTAATCTTTTCGAGCTGTTAGGATGAATGAAAAGGACATGGCAGATATAGGTAAAACAAAAATATTTCATATTTTCTCTGAAAAAGTGGTAGGGTAGGAAATATAGACAATGCTGTACAGATGAGATTAGGACTTCCAGTCAAGATGGCAGAATAGACAGTCCCCAGCCTCACTCTCTCCCACAATCAACCAATTAAAACTATTAAAAAGCTATAACAACCAAGCTGGGTTGCTAGAACTCAGGAGAAGAGAAGAGACCCACAGAATTCACAAAGGCAGGAGAAGCCACATGAGAGGAAAAAAGGGTGGCTCTGACCATTTTGAGCCCTGGCCACTTCAACACTGACTCTGGTGAACACATGAAACAAGAACTGGCAAAAGCTGCTGTTATGCCCTTCCTATGAAGTTGCTTGGAGGCTGCAGGGGAGAAGAGGACCTTGGTGGCCCCCAGGCCAGCAAGATCACTAACAGGGTTCCTGTGGACCCACATAGGAGTGAGGGGCCACAGACAACTGAAAAAGGAGCTACTCAGAGGCTGGACCAGTGCATGGCCCATCCCATGGGAAGTGTTTGGAGTGGAGAGTAATGGGGGAGACGGACCCACCAGGGGAACACTGGGGCACTGCATGGACAGCTGATTTGCTCTCCAAACAGCACAGGACCACTCAGTGGAGACTAGTCTGGAATAAAGAACTGCAGGGGGTGCAGTTTACTGAAAAGACACAGGCCCAGACCAGAGTTTCCACACAACCCAGGTGCACCAGACCTCACAAGATCCGGAAGTGCTTACAAGGTCAACAGTTAAAACCTGAGCTGCACAAAAAGCCTTCCCCAGAGAATCAGAAGCAAAACAGCAATTTAGCTCAACCACAGTGCTCTAGTGCTGGTTCCCTTAGGAAGTTCTCCCATTTCAGAAGTAACCAAAGGACAACAAATTAGTTCTAGTTCTGAGTTTAAGTGGTGCAAACAGAGAATAATCCAGCACAGAACTGAAAGGAAAAAAAACACCCACAGATCAGAGAAAAAGTTCTAACAGCACCAAAGAACACTTGTAAAACCTAGAAGGACTGGAAGTACCCTGGCCTCCCTAGCCAAGGTGGGGCAGGACTGTAGGCCTCAGCCATGGCCCCCATGATGACTGCATCCAGCCTAGCAATGGCCACCGAGCCACCACTGGAAATATCTTGGGCTCCCAAGCCAGGGCAGTGGGAGACCAAGGGCTGCAGCCATGCCACGCCCCCCAACATCTGCACACAGCCCAGCAATGAGCACTGAGCTGCCACTGGAAACACCCTGGGCTACCAAGCTGGGGCAGTTGGGGACCAAGGGCCTCAGCCACGCCCCCTGATGTCTGCAACTAGCCCAGTGACGACCACCAAGCCACCACTGAAAGTGCCCTAGGCTACCGAGCCAGGATGGTGGGAAGCTGAAGGCCTCAGCCACACACCCCTGACATCCGCAACCAGCCCAACCATGAACACCAAGCTGATGCCAGAAGCACCCCAGGCTCCCGAGCTGCAGTGGTGGGAGGTCAAGGACCTCAGTCACATCCCCACAATGTCTGCATCCAGCCCAGCAATGACCACTGAGCCACCACTGGAAATACCTCAGGCTCCTGATCTGGAGGCTCAGCCTCTGCCATGCCCTGCCCCCCCCCCATGTTGCATCCAGTCCAGCAATGACCTTGCCTTTCCTGGAAGCCCCCTGGTCTCCACTGATGGAATGAGGGGGCACCACAGGCCTCGACCACACTCTTCTCCCTCCTCCTCCCACACTGTCCCCTTTCCCTTCCCCTCTCCCCCTCTCTCTAAACTGCTCCACAACAACTTAAAATGTAAAAATACTACTACTAATAATAATAATTAATTAATTTTTTAAAATACTGTATAGATGTATTTATTGCAGTTAGAGCTAAATTGTGGCCAATGCTTTTGTTTCATAAATTTTTATAATTCACCTTTCAAAACAAAGTAAATAATATGCTTAAAGAAGCCATTATAATGAAAAGCACCCATCTGACAATCAATACTTAAGTGGTCAGAAAGTTTAATTGGAAGGTGGTTGTTCGAAAAAGCACCCCAGGCTCCCGAGCTGCAGTGGTGGGAGGTCAAGGACCTCAGTCACATCCCCACAATGTCTGCATCCAGCCCAGCAATGACCACTGAGCCACCACTGGAAATACCTCAGGCTCCTGATCTGGAGGCTCAGCCTCTGCCATGCCCTGCCCCCCCCCCATGTTGCATCCAGTCCAGCAATGACCTTGCCTTTCCTGGAAGCCCCCTGGTCTCCACTGATGGAATGAGGGGGCACCACAGGCCTCGACCACACTCTTCTCCCTCCTCCTCCCACACTGTCCCCTTTCCCTTCCCCTCTCCCCCTCTCTCTAAACTGCTCCACAACAACTTAAAATGTAAAAATACTACTACTAATAATAATAATTAATTAATTTTTTAAAATACTGTATAGATGTATTTATTGCAGTTAGAGCTAAATTGTGGCCAATGCTTTTGTTTCATAAATTTTTATAATTCACCTTTCAAAACAAAGTAAATAATATGCTTAAAGAAGCCATTATAATGAAAAGCACCCATCTGACAATCAATACTTAAGTGGTCAGAAAGTTTAATTGGAAGGTGGTTGTTCGAAAAAAATGAAAGAAATCTGCTCATCTAGACAGTGTTAAAAATGGTAGTTAGGCCATAATNTTCCCCTCTCCCCCTCTCTCTAAACTGCTCCACAACAACTTAAAATGTAAAAATACTACTAATAATAATAATAATTAATTAATTTTTTAAAATACTGTATAGATGTATTTATTGCATTTAGAGCTAAATTGTGGCCAATGCTTTTGTTTCATAAACTTTTATAATTCACCTTTCAAAACAAAGTAAATAATATGCTTAAAGAAGCCATTATAATGAAAAGCACCCATCTGGCAATCAATACTTAAGTGGTCAGAAAGTTTAATTGGAAGGTGGTTGTTTGAAAAAAATGAAAGAAATCTGCTCATCTAGACAGTGTTAAAAATGGTAGTTAGGCCATAATGTACCTACACATATGTCTTTGTTGGTCCCCCCCAGAAGCAAATCCTGAGACAAGGATTCTGGTTCAAGTAGCTCATTTGGATGATGAAGGGATGGCAGGGGAGTAGAAAAGTGAAACAAGGAAGGAAGGCATCCAACAAAGGGTGTATTGTCAGACCAGCTACACTGTGCTAAACTGGAGGTGAGTCCCTCTGCTGAGCACCAGGTTAGTCAAGCAGACATGTCAGTTATCCAGCTCTGGGGAGAGAGAACTTGGATATTTATACTGCATTTTTATCTGTCCATGATTGAGGGCTTCTGGGGATTGGGGATCTCATTAACTTCCCAGAATTCCAGCCTATGAAGAACAAAGACCAGGCAGCAAAGCAGGTTTCCCAGTCAGAAAAAGCCTTAGGAAAATAAAAGCAGATGTAGCAGGTGCACTGAGTGGAAAGAAGGAAATAGGGAGAGACTATGGGAAGGGAACTGCTGACTCTGCCATGCTGTGCTAACACCACCTCCAAGAACTCTGTGAGAAAATAGGTGGTCTGAGGGAAACAATACAAGGATACAGGGAGATGCTAAGGAAAAAAAAAAGGAAGGCACAGAGGACACTTCATAAGTGAGCTCTCCACATCTGTGTGAGTAATGAATCTCCCGAGGTCCTTCACGCCACAGGGTTTAACCCTCCCACTGCCAGTCATCCATGCACAGTGTTCCTTTCTGTTTTTCAGAAGGTAATGGTGTTCACTCAACAAAAATATATTGATCTTCTGTTGTATGCCTGAGCAGTTTAATATGGCCATGACATAGGACATCTACAAGAAGTGGTGGGAAGAAAGGTAAAATAACAGTACCAAAAATATATTAATAGTAATAATAATAACAGCTTAGGGCTGAACTACAAGGCCCTTATTTTCCAACTTTGAATCTGATGCTGTGGACAGAGGGCAAAATCAAAGCTGCTCAAACAAGGAAGTGAAACAAACTGATAAGTTTTAAGATAAAAATCCTTCCACAGAGGAACAGCAAATGAGTTATGCTAAATGACCTGTGCCTCCATGGGGGATGAGGAAGCCTTACAGCCAATCCCCAGGTGCAATTGCTGGAGAGGAACGAACACCATTCTCCAGCCTNGAGCCCAGAGGAAGGGAAGAATTGGCACAGAACAGTCCCCTGACACTACTCTCCTTCAGGAAATGGCAAATTCATCCTCAATGAACAGAGGAATAGGGCTCTGTCCCTGGAGGCTCTGCTTATAATCCCACCATCCTGAAGAAAACACCAAGAGATGTTCACCACATTTCTACTCCTTCAGCCCTTGATGGTTATTGTGAGGAGACCACCTCTCTTCTCCAGGAAGATCAGACACTGTCAGAGAAATTTCAGGTTTAGATTACCTCTTATCCATGAAATGAGATGACATAAGATATAATGCTTAGAGGAGAAAATAAACATTAAAAACTATAAAAATAACTATCCTCTAAGTAAGGCTTCCTTTTACTTTCCTTCAGCCACTTGTTATATAGGTAAAAATTCCTGAGCATTATTATGTATCAGGCCCGAGACAGAGTACTTTCATGTACATCATCTTATTGAGTCCTCAACCCTTTGGTGAAAGTGTTACTGTGTCCATTTTATAGTT